ACCATATGATTCATACATTTATAAATGTCATAGTTTATAAACTAAATATTTAACTTACAAATTAAATATTTAGTTAACAAGCTCAATATTTAACTTGTGACTTAAATATTTAGTTTTGAGCTAAATGTTTACCTTGCAACTTTAATATTTAGCTAGATACCTAAATATTTAGTTAGCTACCTAAATATTTAACTTAAATATTTACTTAGCTACCTAAATATTTAGGTTGCAACTTAAAAATTTAGCTAGCAAGTTAAATATTTAGGTAACTAGCTAAATATTTAACTTAAATATTTAGGTAGCTACCTAAATATTTAAATTAAATATTCAGGTGGCTAGCTAAATATTTAACTTGCTAGCTAAATATTTAAGTCACAAGTTAAATATTTAGCTCAAAATTAAATATTTAATTTGTAAGTTAAATATTTAGTTTATAAACTGACATTTCTAAATGTATATGAATCATATGGTAAAAAACTGACTTTGAAAAATAAATCTGTTCTTTTTTCTTATAAAAGTCTAAATAAAACAAAATATTGGTGGTAATTTTTGACTGTGTAACTTTACAAACGGCAGCCCGTACAAAACCTAGCAGAGAGTGTTTGTTTTAGTACAACAAAGTCTTTAAGCAAACCTGTGAAGTTAATCCCAATTTGGTTGTAATAAAGTCACCTACTACAGTTAAAGTATTGTTTTCTTTTCTGCTCTGTTCACAGTCTTCTGTTCCATCTGAAAGCAGAACCAAGCTCAGAGTGGAACATCTGAACTCCTCACTAATGTACGTCGTACAGATTCAATGTGACACAAATGACAAGTGTTCACAGTGTCCATGGAGTGAAGATCATATCGTCCCATCAGGTGAGAGCTTCACATCTGTCAGACTGGCTTTAAACACAGAACTGAGAATAAAGACATTACATGAAGGATTGCATATCGTCCACCACCTTTCATGCCAGAGTTTTGGAGTAGGAGAGCTGAGAGTCGTGTTGGTCAAATCTTGTAATAACATTAATCTCATACGTGTCACAATATGAGAGTAATGTTTTGTGAGGGGCTCTCAGCTACAACCACATCAAACATACGTTCAGTGTCTGTGAAATGCACAGAGCTATATGTCCTGATGCATCTCAGTAATCCAGGTAAAAAATCAAAAAGAAATAAATTGTGTAGGTCTTCTGGATGGGTTCTTCTCTAATGAAACGTTTCGTCTCTCTTCCAAGAGACTTCTTCAGTCTGAGAGTTTCAGGCAAAATTCAGGCTTTTAAGCGCTGCCTCCATGTGACTGATACTCACATCACATGGCTATCGTTGACACCTAATTAACACCTATTGTTAACGGGGTGGAGTGATACTGGCAATAGCAGCACTGTAGGAGGGGGACAACTGAAAACGGTGGCCTCCACCTCTGTTTAATGATGGACGGTCTTTCTTCACAAAAATGGCTTCTTTTACTCCTCTCTCAAACCAACGTTCCTCTCTATCAAGAATGAGAACATCCTCATCTCTGAAAGAGTGACCGCTGGCCTGTAAATGAGTGAAAACTGCAGAGTTCTGGCCATTAGATGTAGCTCGTCTGTGTTGGGACATTCTTTTGAACAGTGGCTACTTTGTTTCCCCGATGTATAACTGGTTGCAGTCCTCCTGGCACTTAACAGCATATACAACATTGCTCTGTTTGTGCCGGGGCACCGGATCTTTGGGGTGAACCAGCCTTTGCCTTAATGTGTTTTGGGGTTTGAAAGCTACTGGGACATCATGTTTAGAAAATAAACGTCTCAGTTTCTCCGAAACACCCGCAACATACGGAATAACCACTGGTTTGGGTCTGGGTTTGGGGTCTTCATTTTCACCTGAAGGTTGCATGGAATCCTGTCTGTGTTTCCTGTCTGCTTTCAGGAAAGCCCAGTCAGGACAACCACACTGCTCCAGGGCCTGTCGTGTGTGTGATTTCTCTTTCTGCCTGGCTCCTGGGTTTGTAGGGACACTGTCTGCTCTGTGGTACAGAGTCCTGATCACTCCTAACTTGTGTTCCAGTGGGTGGTGGGAGTCAAAACGCAAATATTGGTCTGTGTGGGTGGGCTTACGATATACGCCAGTTTCCAACCGTCCTCCATCCGAAACCGAGACATCGCAATCCAGGAACGCCAACCTGCCAATTTTTACATCCTCTCGTGTGAACTTAATATATTCATCCACAGAGTTGATGTGATCAGTGAAATGTTGGACTTCCTGGGCTTTAATTTTAACCAAGTTGTCGTCAACATATCTGAACCAATGGCTCGGTGGCACCCCTGAAKAGGACATCAAAGCTCTCTTTCCCACTAATAGCACAGAGCCATAGATATTTTTTGTAGGCTAAGGTTGATTAGTAGGGGTGCAACAATACATCTACCCATATTGAACCGTATCAAACAGTGCTTTAGGTTCAATACACACTTTTATCGAACAATACAGATTTTTAAAATTTACTTCATCAGCTTGTCTTCTGAAGATGCTCTGTGTTGAAGGATCAGTGGATCTGTGTTCGACTACTCCACCTAGGCTGRATTTTTGAGCACAGATCCAATGAGAAACTTGCTGTTTCAGCAACATTTAATTTAAAAACTGTATTTTTGAGGTTGAACAAATGTTCTTAATTAATTTAAATAAATTACAAGTTAAAAGGGGCATGGAAATTTCTCTTTTTTGTATTGAAAAAATATCGAACCGTGAGACTAAAGTATCAAACCGAACCGAATCGTGAATTTTCTGTATCGTTGCAGCCCTATTGATTAGCTGTGGCAGCCATCTTAATTGGACTGGCTCAAACATTAATCAGCTGTATGAGCGCATGCATCAGAAAATTTATCTAAAGTCTGTCCAGTGGTTAATAAGAGCTGCTTCTTATGACAAATAAACACACATCAAAGCAGAGGACTGTTTCACTGTAAATTAAATCTTTCAGAACTCACAAGCCAACCCATCATCAACAGCCTAGAGGAAACTGCAGACCAACCAGGTCGCCGGTGGATTTCTGTAAACTGGAGGGTATGTTTTGTCAACTCAAAGTTGTTGTTTTTGCCGTGGGAATTTGAAAAAGGCAGTAAAGTCCTGTTGTTTGGTAGTTTCCTGCAGAGAGTGACGGCTACAAAGTGACCATTTGGAAGGCGTCAGGAGAGGTTCCACAAGAGCAGAAGAAAACCATCAAAGCTAAAATCAGGCTGCTCCTCTCTCATTCAGAATATCTGCTCAATATCAGCGCTTTCAACAACGCCAGCATCTCCCCACCTGTGAGCCTCAGGATTCCACAGAAAGAAGACGTGATGAGTAGGCACCCACTCTAAATCAAGCTCATGCATACGTTTTTATCATAGGAATAAATACGACACAAATAAATGGTAAATTCTGCTAATGCAGCTCAGCTGCTTTTGACACTGTGGACCATGACATTCTGTTATCTCGGCTGGACCAGTTGGTGGGAATCAGGGGTGATTCCTTGAATTGGTTCGGGTCCTACCTGTCCAACCGAACTTTCTGTCTTAGTCTTGAGGGGTCAGTGTCCTCTTCTTCTCCTCTTACACGTGGAGTCCCTCAAGGCTCAATTTTAGTCCCACTTTTGTTTTCTCTGTATCTGCTCCCACTCGGTTCTATTCTCAGGAAGCATGGTATTTCATTTCATTGTTACGCAGATGACAGATAGATCTACAGTATGTCCCTCTCAAAAAGCCAAATTCATATGCGATAGACTCACTTCTTATGTGTTGAGGACCTGAAGCCCTGGATGGCACAAAATGTTTTGAGTTTTGATGAAACCACGACTGAGGTTAAGGTTTTTGGAGGTACTGCAGGCCCTGTAGATCAAGGTTCCTTGACTCAGTACAACAAATTGTTAGTGAGGAATTTGGGAGTTGAAATGGATCCTGAACTTAAATTAGACAGCCACATTAGGTCAGTTGTTAGAAGGAGTTTTTTTATCATTTGAGGCAGCTAGCCAAAATAAAACCCATAATTCCAAAAAGACATTTTGAGACAGTTATCTATGCCTTTATCACCACCCGGCTGGATTACTGTAATGCACTTAATCTGGGGGTTAGTGGGTCCTCCATCGCCCAACCGCAGAGGGTCCAAAATGCTGCGGCAAGGCTTTTAACTGGCAACGTAAATATGAGCACATTTCTCTCATTTTAACTTCACTTCACTGGCTGCCTGTGCCTTTTAGGATCCATTTTAAAATACTTTTATTTGTTTTTAAATCTTTGAATGGCCTTACCTCACCATACCTGATCCCTCCCACTCCCTCAGATCAGCTGATCTAACTGTTCCTGAGGGTCCCTAAAACCAGACTCAAACTCAAAGGGGATCGATCCTTTGCTGCAGCAGCTCCTAAACTTTGGAACGAGCTACCACTCCAACTAAGACAGTCCTCTTCACTGGCTGTTTTTAAAACTCGTCTTAAAACCCACTTGTTTACTTTGGCTTTTGACACTGTATAAGGGGCTGTGTTGTTCATTTATACTAGATTTTATTTTTTGTTTTTATTATAGATTTTAAGTTAGGTTTTAGGCATTTTATTGTTTTTTATTCCTTGTTTTTACTTTGTGTTTTATTACCTGCTTTTATTTTTCTGTGTTTTTTTTTCCTATTTTAAGTGTGATTGAGTTTGTTTTGTATGAGCTGTGTTGCTGTGCTGATTCTGTACAGCTCTTTGGCCTACTATGGTGCAAAAAGTGCTTTACAAATAAAGTTGCTGGATTGGATAAAATCTAGGGGCTGAGAGGTGTCTGATATTACTGAAAAAGCTGCACGAATTTGTCCAAGTTAGAAAAAGCAGATCAAAAATGAAAAACTTTAAATAAATCTGTAATTTCCAAACCATAGCTAAAAGCTAAAATTACAAAAACCAAAGCTAAAAGCTAAATCCAGCATTAAGGTGGCTTAAAGCTGAAATTAGCCAACATGTAACTAAAAAGTAAAACTAGCAAAACCAAACCGAAACGTTTACATTATCTATATGTAAGCTAAAACTTAAAATCATGAAGAGAGTAAAAACAATTATGTTTTGCACATCATAGCTTCAGCGGAATTGGGGGTGTACCTAAAATGAGCTAAATTGTAGCTAGAAGCTAAAGCTGACAAATAACATCTAAAATCTGTTTAAACGTGGAGGCCTCTTCTCAGGAATGCACAGATGTACTACGTCTCTCTTAGACCACCAGCTTCAGAGCTCGGCACATGTTACCATATTAGGAAAAGAATGCTTCAGGTATACCGTGACAAAATTTATGGTGCATCTGTTGGACTGCACTGTGAAACCTATAAAAAGGCTTGTACGCCCCTACTCTTCGCCTTCGTCTCCATCTTTTTACCTGGTGATTCATTTGGCTTAGAAGGCCACGATTTGGTTTTTGGCTGTAAATCTCCTGGACTGCAAAATAAAGATTGTTGCTGTTCAACCAGCCTGTTTCACAGTTTCTCTCTTCAGGAGCAGCAGCAGTTTGCAGAACCGAGAAGACCCGGTTTTTACACCTCACCTGCAAAACTGTAGCTACAAGCTAAAATTAGCATAACGATAACTAAAAGCATAATTTAAAACAAGAGTAACTAAAACATAAAATTAGCAGCACAACACCAAAAACATCAAGTGAATTAAATAGCTAGCTAACAACCTGAATAGTTCACTTAGCTGACATCATATTGAAGCAGCTAGAAGCTGAAAACCCCAAACAGGAAACTGTGTGAAAGCTGTCTCAGAAGTCACGCTTTGATCAGCAACGTGGAAAAAAAAGGTCATTTCTTTGTCTTACCTGTTTTCCAGACGAAGGAGACGGGAGGCTGAATGTGAGCGTCAACAACAGCACAGCGCTGACGGTTTCTTGGAAAGATGATCTCATCAAACAGTTTGTGTGTTATTCAGTGGAGTGGAGAAAAAAGGGACATTCTGCGCTCTACAAGTCCTTTTATGAGAATACCAACAACTACAGGCACTTATCTCATCTGCCAGGTACATCATCATTTACAGTTACGCTCTGAACACTAATTATTAAACTTTCTTCTGCTTTTTTTAAACTTTTGTTACAAAGTGTGGAATGTTTAATTATACATGGTCAAGTTCAGACAACTTAAATAGACTGTATAGTTTTATAACAGTTAACTGCTTCAAGGGAAGAGGATTTTGTGAAGAAATGCATATTGCCCACCACTAAACATGCCTGAGTTTTAAATAGGATCATTTTATGTTGAGAAATGATGCAGTTGTAGCTGTTTTATGCAATAAGATGAGACGTGCTCAGAGGTTTTGTTGTTTTTAACCCTCAGCTACACCAAATCTTACCTCCGTATCTGTAAAACTAAGAGAGGGATTTCCATTTCTGCATTAACTAATGTGAACTAGCAGCTGTGGGCAACTCGACAGGGGCGGTTCTAGGGGCGGGGCCACAGGGGCATTGG